TGAGAGACAGATCAAGGAAAACGCTGACAAAATTAAGGAAAGCACAGACAATACCCCAGAACAATTTCAGAAGAAAATGCAAAAACAAAATGACAAAATAAATGAAAAATTAGGAATCCAGAAAATTAAGTTTTCAGAAATAGAGAACACACTGAAAGGGCAAAGGAGTAGAGTCGAATCAATGGAAGACAGAATTAATGAGACTGAAGACAAACATCTGAATACTTCTTTGGAAAGAGATCAACCAGAAAAAAGATCAAAACAAAGTGAAGAAAGCCCTAAGATTCATGTGGGATACCATCAAAAGGAATAGCCTACTTGTAATCAGAATTCCAGAACAGGAAGAGAAAAAGAAAACCACTGAGAAAATTGTCCAATATTTGTTGGAAGAAAACTTCCCTGATATGATGAAAGATGAGAATATATCAATTCAGGAAGTCCAATGAACCCCAAACAGAATAAACCCCAAAAGAAAATCACCAAGACATATCATATCATCATCAAACTCATCAAAACCAAAGACAAAGGACAGAGCTGAACTGCCCCATAGGGTTTACAAGGCTATAAATCTTTACAGAAGCTGACTGCCTCATCTTTCTCCTGTGGAGCAGCTGGTGGGTTTGAACCACCAACCTTTTGGTTATCAGCCAAATACTATAACCACAGCTCCACCAGAGCTCCTTGATGAGTAAAGGAAGGAGGCAAAATGTGACCCTGGCCATCTATTCTAAATTCTGACTCCTAAATAGTCACCCTCCTACCTCCAGTTTCCTGACCTGCTCCTTTCATCACCAAACTAGGAGGGATTCCAGTGTCTTCCATTCCATGGAATTCTATCCCATACCACAATTGACTGACTATATTCTTCTATTAAGCCACTTTCTCTGAAGAAAGAAAACCCTGTAATTGGCATTGAACAATAAGTAACTTGATGAGCAATTACAAATAGAAACTTATTAAATAGTTAAAAAAAAAAAGATAACTCTTGGAGTTAAACAACTGCTAGGTTGGGGGGAGGAGGCAAACAAAGTTGTGGTTGGGGGGAGGAAGCAAATATTGCCACAAAAAGTAGGAGTAACTGATCAGATTTATGGATTCCTCTGTTGCTCCTTCAGAGTGCTGAAAAATCAGAACTGCTCATACAAAATACAACCCAGAAGTCAGCAGTAACATGCTAAAGCTTAATAAAGTAAATATATTCCTATAAGGACAAATTCACCAAGTTAAAAACAAACAAAAAGATCTATCAACATCTGCTCACCTCCGGACATTTCTATTTGAGTAGCACTAACATTCCTTAACAGCCTACCCCAGCAAAATTTCTCCCATCTATCCCCACTCCTTACCATTTCAATTTGCTTCAAGTCGCAGCTATAGCTAAGTGTCTTAGTTATCTAGTGCTGCTATTACAGAAATACTACAAGTGGTGGCTTTAACAAACTTATTTTCTCAGTTTCGGAGGCTAGAAGTTGGAATTCAGAGCTTCAGTTCTAGAAGGCTTTCTCTCTCTACTGTCTCTGTGGAAGTCTTTCAGCTTCTGTTCTTTGGTTCCTTGGAGATTTCATGTGGTAATGGCATCTATATTCCCCATCTGTGCTTTTTTGATGCTAGCTTAATGTGCTCTTCTAAATTTCAAGCAACTGACTTAAAATATACCCTAAACCATTACTGCCTCATTAATCATTAACATAACAAAGAAAACCCTATTCCCAAAGATTATAACCACAGGTACAGTAGGATTTACAATACATACTTGAGGGGACACAATTCAATTCATAACACTACTTAATTGTCTCCCCACTCCAAATACATGCTACACACAACTGCTGGTTAGTTCTTCTAAAGCAATCCAGCTGATACTTCTTGCTCAAAACTGTCCATTACTTCCCAATGTCGAGTGAATAAAGAAGTAACTCTTACCTTGATATGCACTAGCACCTACCCTTCAAGTCCCATCATCTTCTACGTGGTTTACAAAGTTCCAAGGTTCAGCCAAACTTCCTGATACTTCCTAACACTATCTCCCTCTCTTTGCTTCCCACAACTATCCATAAGCTCACAAACAAATGGGGTTATGAATACTCACAGATTAGAACATATGACGTCAAGGAGTGAGAAATGAAGTTTAGCAAAGTCAGGTGATGTATTACTACTCCATCAAGAGACTCAATTTTAAAATGCTTGGACTTCATCCAGTAGGGAACAGGGAACATCATGATCAAATGTGCATTTTAGAAATTCAACTGGCAAGAAAAGTATTGAAAATATAGTGGCAAAGGAGGTAGGAAAGGCCAGGAGAACAGCCCAGGACAATATGAGGGATCATTCTAAGCTAGTAGAAATAGAAATAAAGACAGGAACAGATCTGATAGATTTCTTTAGTAGAATCAACAAGATTTAATGGAAAAAGTATTCAAATATCCACTCTTCTCCATTTCAATTTGCTCTTCATACCACAGACTAAAATGTCTTTTCAAAATCTGATCATGTTCCCTCCTTTGCTTATAACCCTTCAGTGTGTCCTGCTGATCTTATGACAAACACCAAATTTTGTCATGATTCTGTTTTCAAAGCCATGCATGACCTGGCTTCTCTGCCCACCCCTCCAGCCTCAGCTTCCTCATGCTCCC